CTCCAAAAACTTTTATTCATCTAGCTTTTTTCCCTGCACTTCAACCCTTTGAAACTCTCTCCCAGCTTCATGTTTTCCTGACTCATTCAACCTTCAACTTTATAAGTCTTCTGTCAACCATTTTCTTGCTCTATAACTTTATTCTTTTTTTCTAGTAAATGCCAACTTAATAGTGGTTGCTTGTTGCCTTGTTAGTAGTGAATCAGAATTGAAAAAAAATAAATATCCAATGTATTTATTTTTAGTAAAACTTTCTAGGCTTTTGTAAACGCATGTAAAAACGATTGTAAAAGAAAAAAAATTTCCTAAATACTGGTAACATGTAACCCAGTACTATCTGCTTCATGTCCTGCTGCCTTGTAGGATATGGCTTTTTAGGCAAAGGCTAGGAGATGCCATCTCCGACATAAAGCACCCCCTGCCTTGGGGCTCTTGGTTTAATAAGGCTAGAGATGGTGTCTCGATAAAAATAATTATCTTGGGCAGATGTTAAATGCATCCAACTGCTGTCTTGTAGAAGGCCTCCTAGGCAATGACTTAAGGGGTAAACAGATTATCTGTTGACCAGCCTCGCACCTCTTCTTCCATTGACCTGTCACAGATGTATTTTTAATACATTGCTTCAAGTTTAGGATGTTGAATGCTGGATCTTTTTGACTTGATGCATATGTTTTGCTTGTATCTCTGTTTTTATGAATAGGCAACTTGTTCTATCATCTCCTAATAAGGGTACACCACTAAAACTCAGTTTTATGGTTCTGAGGCTGGCTGATCGTCAGGTTTCCCGAACTCTGTGATAGCTCTCAGAGAGGCTGATTCCATCAATAGCTGAAAAATATCAAAGTATTAACAGTGCAATGTTGCGCATGGATGGTGTCCCTGTTTTATACTTTTGGTGTGCATTGCCAAGGCCACATTGGAGCCCTTTGTTAGAGTTTAGGATTTATTAATAGTAATGAGGCAATTGCTTGGGTTATTAAACAGTATACTGAGTACTATCTATGTTTCAAGTCAAGTTTTTTAACAAATTTAAAAATGAATAAAGTAACAAAAACTATAAAACACAAAAAACCACTGTCATCACCAAGTTCGCTAAACCTATCATTCACTAATACTTGTGGTCTTTGAAGTAACTTTTCTTCTGTTAAGTTTTATTTCTTGCAAAGTTCACCAGACCTACTTGCTCTTTGTGAGACTAGTTTGAGTTCAGCTGTCTCATCTTGTGATCTTAGTGTTGATGGTTATCTTCCTTTAATTCGTAAAGACTCTAATAGTCACATGTTTGGCTTGAGCATTTACATTTGTAATAATTCACCCATTTGTTGGGAAACTAGGTAGCACTACTCTATTATCTTTCTCTTTGTTCTATATTGCTCTCCTTCATCTTAAGATTGCACTCTTCTTGATGTTATTTCTGATCATATTGACCAAGTCCTTTCTCTTTATCCATCAGCAAATATTGTTGTTGTCTGTGACTTTAAAGTTCATCACACTGAATGGCTTGGCTCTAGTGTCAGTGACTCTGCAGACATTAAAGCCCAAACTTTTTGCCTTTCTCAATCCCTAACTCAAATAGTCAACTTTCCTACATGCTTTCCAGACAACCTGAATCATTTACCTTCTCTAATCGACTTATGTCTTGTTTCTGATCCTAGTCAGTGCTCAGTTTCTCCGCATTCACCCTTAGGTGCCTCCGATCACAGTTTGCTCTCTCTAAAACTCTTATCTCATTCTTCTTTATCATCAGAATCCCCCTATCATCATACATCTTACAAAAACCTTAAAGCTGACTGGGACTCTTTCCGTGATTTTCTTCTTGATGACCCTTGGGTATAAATCTTTCGTCTTCCTGTTGACAAATGTGCTTCTTACATAACTTTGTGGATTTACGCTGGCATGGAATCCTTTATTCCCTCTCGACAATTCCAGATCAAGCCTCACTCTTCTCCATGGTTTTCCTCACATAGTGCTGCTGCAATTGCCAATTGAAACCATTACTTTCATATCTATCAGCAAAACAATTCTCCAGAAAAAAGATGTCTGTTTATTACTGCTAGGAACCATTGTAAAAAAGTTTTGTCCAACGCCAAAGCCCGCTATTCTCAGGTCATGAAATCTCGTATTTCATCACAAAAATTAGGCTCTCGTGACTTCTGGAGAATCTTTAATAGTATCAATAAGGGCAAGTCTGTAATTCCACCTCTTTTGTATAGTTCAGACTTTGTCACCTCACCTAAAGACAAAGCTGAATTGTTTGCTAAGAACTTTTCATCAATAACATTAATGATCTTCCAGATATTCTCACATCTAAGGTGGCATTTTTCGCTGATCATACTACCATTTATTCTTGTCATGATAAGAAGCCAACTCTCTCTGATTGCTCGTAGGGAGTATTTGAGCTTGAAAAGGATCTCACTTCTGCTGCAGCATGGGGCTCACAGTGGCTGGTGAACTTAATTTAGATAAAACTCAATTTTTTTCAGCCAATCGTTATCGCAATAATTAAAACCTTCCTATATTTATAAATAGTAATGTACTCGATGAGTCATCTACCCTTCATCTTTTAGGATTAACTCTTATTTCTGATCTTTCTTGGAAACTAAATATCAAATCCGTTGCAAAATTAGCATCTGCTAAGGTTGCATGTCTTTATCAAGCTCGACACTTTCTTACTCTGGATTCTATTTTCTATCTCTATAAATCTTAAATCTGGCCTTGTATGAAATATATGTATATATGTATGTGTATATATATATATATATTATATATATATATATATATATATATATATATATATATATATATATATTCTTTTTTAAATTAAATATAGGGTAAAGTAGCCTATTATGGGGATGCTTTTGTAAAAGAGGTAAAAAATGAAGACAAACTATTATTTTGGAAAAAACAAATTTTTGTTGTGAAGCTACATATTTAAACTTATAATATATCTTATAAGTTGATTTAGATATGAAAATTTCATAAACAATTAAAGTGAAACTTGATTTTCCTTTTATTTTTAATTTTATCTTGGCTTTCATTAATAAGCAATGGCTCATAATGAGCAGTAATCGGTTTAGCGTGAACTTTAGGAGTAAAGTTTATTTTCATATGCAGTGTCTGTTTTTTTGACACATTTTAATGTGCTGGTTCCACTTTATTGTAAGACTTTTTCTATTCACATAGTTTACTTGTACAAGCTTCACAGCATTACTTTTGCTTATTTTGTTTTAGTTGTAATATTTTGTCTGTTCTTTTTTGGGCATGCTCTTTAGAATGTAAACAAAAGAAACCCATCTATATAAATCAAATTATTGTAAAAGTTTTGAAAGATTTTTTTTTTAATTTATTCACTCCCAACAACAAGTTTGAGATGGTTGATGAAACTCATCAAGCTTGGCAAAGAGAGCAGATCCAACCAAATTTACTATGCATTTTTGGACCTTGTCAAGAGAAAGAGCATCATTAAAAATTCAGCCCAAATATGACAACATTATTTTATAAGGAACAAAGAAAAGATTTGTAGAGGTAGAGAATGGAATTGATAGAAAGTAAATGGCAAGCAAGATAAGGAGAGGCCAATGGTAACTAATTTAGACGCAAGGAGAGGCAAATGCTAACTTTATTTATGGTTTCAATGAAATGTTAGTGGTGAATGACAATCCAAGACAACTTAAAGTAGGAGACTAAGTATGAGTGCTTTCATTCATCAGTATAGGATGTCAACAATATATTGTGGTTGTTATTTTTTACAGTAAATAGCTGAATTTTGTTGGAGTTAAAATTCACAAGTCACTGCAAGCCTCAAGCTGTTACAGAAGATAGATTATAATTAGGATCATCTGCCTGCTTTAAGCAATCAAAAAGAGAATTTGTTGAGAATCAAGTATTAAGTTGAGTCGTGGCCAAATAGAACCACTTTAAATGTAAGGTTGTCATGAAAATCACTAATGTAGATAGGAAACATTTTTTAGACGAAAGATAGAATCTTGTGGTACCCCAGAAGTTACTGGAAATAAAGAATAGTGTTAGCAAGAGCATGCCAAACTTTATCAAAAGCTTTTGATGTGTCAAAAGCAATAGCTTTAGCCTTGCAGCCTCCTTTTATCCTATGCATGCGATCTTTTAATTACAGTAGTGAATCAGCCATAGAACAAGAAGATCGAAATCCATATTGGTTGTTAGAGTTATTAGACTCAAGATGAGATGTTAGAAATTTGTTCACATTAGGCTCAAATATCTTGCTAACAATAGCGAGATGACTAATCAGGCAATAGTTGGAAGTAAATTAATTAGAATTTAATATTTTTAGTCACTTTTGTTCTGCTTCAGAATCTTTATGTAATTCATTGTATGTAAACGTTTAGGATACAAAACCATTCCTAATTGTTCGCAGTAAATTTTAATATACAATCGCAAATTAACAACAAGTTTAACACAACTAACTTATAAATGAAGGCTATGAAAACTGCATTCATGTTAAAAATATTTCTTAAATGTTTAAAGTTGCAAACTCTGTTGAAGTTAAAAGTTGATGAAACGTTGATGTATTAATAAATTTTCTACAGTTTGCTAAGAGGCTAGCTAAAAGTTTTTAAATATTTTTTTAACTTATTGTTGACCTCTGTTGTGTGTTTTCCTATGCTATCTTTTTCCTTTTACACTTTAAATATTCTTAAATTTTTACATTTGGTCCATAGTTGCTGGTTACGACACTCTATATGGAGAAATTTCTTACAGAGACCATAAAGAAACCAGAAACCAGTTTCTTCAGATTTTGCTTTATGGTCTCTGTAATAAATATTACTGGAAGGGAATATACTACCATTTTTAATTAACACATTTTTAGTTATAGGTTACATAGTATTTTAGATATAACAACCTATTTTATTGTGTAATTTAAAATTGGAATGCTTGTGTTAAGTTTATTTAAAATTTAATTCATTATTAATTTTTTATTATTTAAATATTCAAGCATTAATTATTCAAACATTAATTTTTAGATTGTTAATACAGTTAAGAATGCTGCTTGCATTTTAAAAATGTCACTTACTCAGCAGCCTGCATTTGACTCAAGATTTGAGAATTTAGAAAAAGATGCTGTTTTCATTCGTAAAAGAAAAGCAACTGTTGCATGTTTTATAACACGGATGTTCCTTCTTGGTGCTGAATATGCCATTATTCTTCCATCGATTTGGCTTTATTTAAAAAAATTTAATGTAGAACCATGGTTTTTAGGAATCGTTATTGCAGTATACCCTTTTGCTGCAATAATATCTCTTCCTGTAGTTGGCTATTTATTTGATAAGTTAAAGCGAATCAAAGAAATTATTCTCATTTTAAACAGTTTTGAAATAATTGGAAATATTGTTTATGCAATACCTATTTCAAAATGGATGGTATTTATGGGTCGTTTTCTTGCAGGTCTAGGTGATGGCTTTTATGCTTGCGCAACATCAGAGGTTGTACATACTTACCCTGTTTCACAAAGAACTGGTATATTTGCCTTGCTAGAATTAGGAAGAGTTCTTGGTATTACCTTTGGACCTGCTTTAAATTTTTTTTTATCAAAAGTTGATGTTCAAATAGGAGGCTGGCGAATTGATTCAGGAACATCTCCAGGGTTATTCATGGCTTTGCTTTGGATTTTATGTCAAGTTATAACAATATATTATACATCAAACTTATCATTACTAATCGAAGAAAGAGCAAGATATTATCCTAATATAAAATTAGATACTAGAGGACTTAATTTTGATTGCTCAAAAGAGAGCAAACGTATGAGGGAAACATCTCTTTGTGAATCTTTAAATGATGAAGAGCCATTGATTTCACAGACTAAGCTTTCTTTTAAACTTTATAAAAGTACAAATGGAGCTTTATATGTTGATGATAACCTGACCGAAGAAGAATCATGGGCTGAGTCCAACAATAGTGATTTCAGCACATCGCTAAATTCCTCCAAAATTTTGCCTCCCAAATCTGATTTATTAAAGTTATTCCTTACTTTATGTACTACTGAAATCTTATGTATTTTTTATGCAGATCTTGTTCTTTGGTTAGCACAAACAGAGTTTGAAGTTTTACTACCACTTATTACTCAAGAGAGTTACAACTGGGGTGAAAATTATGTTAGCGTTGTCTATATGGTGGGTGGCGTTTGGTTAATGATTGTTTTCTTTTTGATATACAAATTTGCTGAAAAGTTAAAAATAAAGGACCAACACTTCATTCTTATATCGTTAATATTTACAGTATTAGCTTTGCTACTCATGATGTGTGAACAGATACCTGATTCTAAAGATATTAAAAAGAGACTTCCAATATTCATCTCTATATGTGTTCTTATATTTTCAACAATTCCTTTAAATTTAGTTGCAGTAAAGTCTTTAGTTTCAAAATTGACCCCACGTGAAAAGCAAGGATTAGCACAGGGTGTCTATTCATCAATCGGGCGCGTTGCATTAATTTTGGGACCTATACTTGCAAGTGCAGCTTTTAGTCATTTAATTATTTTTGCTACAGTAATGAGTGTTCTTTGTATTATTGGATTAGTGTGGTTTGTGCTCAACCTTGGAAATATAAGACGCAAAATAACATTGATGGATTTAAGAAATTCTTAAATATAATAGAAAAAATATATAGAATAATCTAATAGATAAATTCAAAAAATTATCCCTGTTTTTAATAGAGATTTAAAATTTTTTAGATATATTTTTTTAATACTTATAATAAATTATTTTTTGTAGAAAACTCAATTGTGTATATTTTTTAAAGTTGTGTTTTTAAAAAAAACATTGTACAATTATATTCCAATGGGCACGGAGCGTAAACGTTTTTTAAACGTCTTTTAAGCGTCTTCTTTAGGTCTTGTGCCACTGGGATGTTTAAAAGTAACATTTGTTGCTTATAAGCATAAAAATGACAAAAGTTATTTTATATATATATATATATATATATATATATATATATATATATATATATATATATATATATATATATATATATATATATATATATATATATGTATATGTATATATTGTTACTTATATATATTATATGTAAGTAACAAAAATCATTTTAAAAATATCTAATAATCACGCGTATAATTTTAAAATTTAAGGTTTTGAAAAAAAAAAAATTATACAAATAGATATTATAACGTAATCTAATTTTTAGTTTTAAAATGTTAAAATAGAATTGAATTAAGATTAGTTTCGATTAATTTGGATTCCCGTTCTTTGCAATTAAAAAGCTGCAAGCAATAAAATTGAGATTGAATTTTACATAAGTTATTTAATTATATAAATCTTTTTGAATTTTTATTGCATTTTTGTAATCTTTTTGTGTATTTTAAAACTTTTTCTTTATTCATACTTTTTATTTGAATATTTTCGCAACAGTCTTTTTTACCACACATAACGCTGTACCCCTAGCAGCCTGTATCGTTGGACTAACCACAATATGCGTTAACTGTTCTAACGGACTGTGGGTGTGACTAACCACAATATGCGTAAATTGTTCTAACGGACTGTGGGTGTACAAACTGCACAAACGCACTCCCGCAAAACCATATCAAACAAATTTCTCACTTTTTAAATTGGCGATTATTTTTGTAACTTTGATTTATATTATATAAATAGCTTAATGTTAGATCTATATTATATAAATAGACTAAGTATCATAATGATAATATTTAAGTTAAAACAAATATGTGTTGTATTTCTTTTTATATAAATATTTTTAACGAAGATTAACAGGGTTATTTTGAGTGGTAAGATAAATGTTTCCAAACATATCTTTTAGGTATGTTTAAAAACACTGTGTGTGAGAGGCAAGTTCTGCAGTCGACAAATAAAAGGAAATGCACGGCAAACGGATAAATCATCAATAAAACTGTTAACAGTAAGCGTATCTATAACTTATAAACTTTTTTTTTAAGCACTTTAATGACATAGAGAAGAGAAGAAAAAAATGAAATCGTACAAAAGTCATAGTTATGGTCAGGGTTGAAAATAAAGTAAATAAAAATGTTGTTGTATACAATTATCATGAACTTTGAAACCCGATCTAAAAAATACTAATTTTGAAAAAGTTTATGATGTACCGCAAAATTCTTTCTTTGCAAGTTTATGTGTGCATTAGACACCAGCAATTTCTGGAAATTTATCACTACAAGCTGGAGTAATTACCGTATAAAAAAATAGGAATTTTGGCGAAAAAAGTAACTTTTAAGGCCAAGACAAAAAATTCGCGCGAAGCGAATTTTTTCGTCGTTAAGCATGCGCAGATTAAACATTTTTGGCGATTATACTGATTTTTTTTCGCTGCAGCGAAAAAAAAAGTCGGATTCATTTCGACTTTTTGCGAATCGCCATAAGCGAAAACCAATAAAATTTTGAATTTTATATCACCTGATGTCAACATTAAAAAAAAGCGAAAACATGTTTTTAAAGTAACAAAAAACAAAATTCTTAACCTGGCGTTCTTATTAATTTTATATGAACTTACTCTGAAAATTGGCTAGCATGAGTAAATTTATCAAACAAGGGGCAAGACTTACATAAAAAAATGACCAGACTTATATATAAAACTAAATCGAAAATTTACAAATATAAATTTTCACACTGTCAATTACGAAAGTTACACTTCATAAGAATGTTTATCTCCAAATGGCCACACGAAGATAAACCTTTTTGTGAAAAATTCTTTATAGAGTTAAACCTGCTGTTCGTTCTTGCAGTAATAGTTTTTAATAGAAATGTTCATGTCAGAGTTTAGCATTTATTTTCTTATACTTTCTTGTAAAAAAAAACCTTATATTAAACGATTATATTACAAAATAATATCACATCTTACATATAAAGGCAGAAATGTTAATATTAATGCACGGAAAGAAATTTTCACATGCTTCAAAGTAGAAAGTATGCTAAAAAAGTATTAACTGCCTTCAGTTAAACATACAGCGTAAACTTATTGCTGCCATTTTTATTGTTGACAACAAAAAAAAAAAAGCGCGAAAGAAAGTAAAACAGCGTTTTCGTCATAGCGAAAAAATTCGCTTCGCGCGAATATTTCGTCTTGTGGAAAACGGCCTTTAAAGTCTTATTTTTAAAATAAGCATTATAATTCCAACTTAAAAGATTTCTTATAAGTCGCCATTTTTATTGGATATATCGGGGTGTTCACTCTGCTAGATAAACTGAAAGAACTAGAAAGGACTGTTTTGAAAGGCATACTAAAAAAACTAAAAAATATATTTTTTGTGTATAATTGATTCAATGATTATAAAAAATACATTTTCCAGTTATTCAACTGTGTTTTTTAAAAATAGTTTTATACATTTTTTTAAGTTTGTTTTGAGTTGACACCCTGTTTATTATGACATCCGGCCTTAAAGAAATGTAAACAAACCAAAAAGTAGAGTATCAAATTGTAGATTGAACCTTGCGAAAGCGTTTTACTGTTATTTTTAAGGAGTTATAAAATCTTTAATATATATTAACTATATTATCAAGCTTAATTTATTACAATAATAAAAAAAATGCCTCCTGTAAAAAGAACTAGACGGTGTAATTTATATGGTGGTAGCCCTTCTGATCTTCCTATTACAGATCTAGCAACTTATGGTGATGTAGCAAGATTTTTCTACAAATTAAAAGATTTAGATGGTATTAAAGACAAAAATATTATTGTTCAAAGAACGCTTTGTAGTTTAAAAGAAATATGGTTCAATTGCAATTCCAAATTAGTTTTGTTACCTGAAAAAAGTTTGATTGTTAAACTTTTAAGATTTTATAATAATGTTATTTCTTGGAATGGAAATAAAATTAAACCTTTGACCAAAAAATTGTTGGAAAAAAATAAAGAAAAACTTTTTGATTTGCTAGCATGTAACTGCAAGCTTGAAGGTCTTCCTTGTGATGACAGGAATATCAAATGCTCAGGTTGTTCAAATGTGCATCTTTACTGTAGTTGTGTTGGTAGTAAAAAAGTAAGTTATACAAATTTAAAGTAATTTATTTTAAATTAAACTTTAAATAAATTATTTAATTTTATTGATAAACTTTTTTATATTTTATTATTATTTTTTATATTTCAATTAAATGTAAAACTTTCATTGTTATGATTTTTAATTTCTAGAAGTTTTGTTGTATTTTTTTCTATAATTACAGAGTAAAACTTCAATTTCATCATTAAATCAGACTAGATCAAAAAACTATAACACTACCCACTATCCCAAATTTGCTTTAGAGGTAATTAGATATGGAATATCAGATAAAGCAGCTGCCGCTGTAGCTAATGCTCTACTTCAAGATATTGGTTATCTACATCTAAATTATGTAATTGATCCAAGTAAAATGAAAAGAGAGAAAGAACGAGTATGCTTTAATGCTAGTTTTGAGCAATCTAAAGTTTCAAATATAAAGGCAATTGGTTTGGATAGCAAACGTAATAAAAACTCATTAGTTTATGAACAGAGAGATATTGACGGTGAAATAAATCTTTGTAAATCTACTAGCACTGTAAACCACTTGACATTCACAATTGAATCAGGTAAAGCCCAATGTTATCTCTTTTGTCTCTGTATTTTTTTTTTTTTTTTTTTTTTTTTACTAATAAAAATGTTTTAATTTGAATAAGGCGAGTTGCAAGGTCAATATCTAAAGCACATAGATGTACCTAAAGAAAAAGGTAAAGGAAAAGATCTTGCTGAATTTACCTGTAATGTTCTCAAGGAGTTTAAGAGTGATAAAAGTATCCAGGCAATAATTTTGGACAATACAAGTGTTAATACAGGTATATTTTTTCTTCAAAAATGCCTGTCTGAAAAATAAAAAAAGATAACACATAAATCTTTATTTGAGTTATATATTTTCATATTACTATATCATTTTAGGTAAAGATAATGGTTTAGTTGCTTGTCTTGAAAGAATATTGAAAAGAAGAATTCATTTAATTGGCTGTCTTCTACATGTTAACGAGTTACCATTGCGTCATTTAATTTCTAAACTTGATGGTTCTTCTAATAGCTCAAATAATTATTCGGGTAATCTAAATAATAATATTATTTTACAAACTTGGTGATAATATTATTATTTAGATTACCCGATTATTATTTAGCAACATTATTAAAATTTATAGAAATTCTATTTTTTACTTAAGAGTTTTATTGCTGCTTTACTTTTTTCTGATAAGCATAAATATAAATTATTATTTTTAATAAAAAGTTATAACTATTAATATTAATATACTTGATCAAATAATAATAATAATAATATTTTAAAGGACCAGTTGGAAAATCTTTGACAACTCCAATTCATTTAAATTTAACTGTTGACTTCATACAAGTTGAGACAGACATTGAATATCCTCCTCTGTGTGTCATTAAAGACCTCTCTGCTGACCAGAGAATGCTACTAGAATATAGTATTGGAATTTCTAGAGGGTTTTCAGACAATAAGTATCTGAGAAAAAAAATAGGTGTGTTGTTTTGTAAATCATTTGTTCCTAATATTTTTCCTTTTATTTTGTTTGTTTGAAGTTTATGTAAATATATATTTATTAATATATAATTTACTATTAAATTATACTATTAATTAATTTTTATATATAAAAGATAATATTTTTAGGCCCTATTTGTCATGCAAGGTGGCTGACAACAGCAGTACGGATCTTGGCACTATACACAAGAACAATCAATCCCAGTAGAGAGCTCAAAATCTTTGTTGAATATATTCAAACAGTATATACTCCTGTGTGGTTTAATATTAAAAAGTCTAAAAATTTCACAGAGGTTCCTAAACTTATTTTCCAATTTATTCAGCGGATTTTGAGGTTAGATACTGAAGTTCAAGGTATTACATTGCCCATAATTTATAAAAACTCTTTTTGTCTCCAACCTGAAAATTTTATTGCTGCTCTACTTTATTCTGAAGAACAGGTTTATAGAACAATTGCTGTTGTTAAGATTTTGGAAACAAGAAAAACTCTAATTAAGGATCCTAAAAATGGATTAAAAGATGGTATTAGGGTTAATGCCATTCCAATTATTGATTGTAAATGTAAAAACTGGTCAAAATTAATAAATCTGTATGATATAGACTGTTTTGAGCCCCCTTGTGTGGAAGATATATCAAATGAGGAGCTTTTGAATATGATACCGAATCAGGGAAAGGCTCCCAACTTTCCGTGCCACTCGCAAACGGTTGAAAGAGCAGTGAAAATGACTTCTGATGCTAGCGGAAAATTTATTAACCTCAAGAAAAGAAATGCTTATATTCTAGCTAAATGCCAAAGTCAAAAGAAACGAAAATATTTTAGAACAAAGAAAGATTATACATTGTAATTTGTTATCATTTCTTTAAATTAATCTATTTGGTAATATGTTTGTTTATTATTATTATTAGTTTGGTTCAGCAGTAAAAGTATAATATATTTAGTAGTAGTCAAAAGGGGCATAATAAAAAATAGTTTACTTCTTTTGCTTCTGTATATTAGAGTAAATCCTAATAAAAAGTGCTGCAACAACATAACATTGTTGTTTATGTTTAAATCCGTTTTTCAGTTAATGGCTAATGATTATTGAAAACCGCTTATTGTTTTAGTTATTTTTCCAATACCCTAAAAACAACCTTAAAAATTTAAGTTAAAATTATTTATACAACTTATCCTTATAAAGAATACATTTATAAAAGTTTTTGTGCGTTAACGTTTCAAATATTTATTGTGTGACCTCTTTAAGTTTTTACTTTTTAATGATAATATATGATAAATATAAGACCAAATAAGATAGAATCGGAAATACTTGAAGCTTTTATATTTTGCCCATAATGTTTTTATGGTCTAAAGAAGGTACTCCAGCTTGAAGTAATTGCAATTTCAAAAAAAAGTTAAAAATTACTGGTTTCTAGTGTGCATGCGTGTTTGATAGTTCTGTTTCATTTTTATTGTTTGATAATTATGTTTTATTTATTTTCTTTGTGTTCGATAGTTCACTTTTATTTATTTCTCTTTGTGTTTTTTTAATATTTTAGTTTTATTTATTCTTTTTGTATGCGATAGTTCAGTTAATTTTTTTTCTATGTGTTCGATAGTTCAGTTTTATTTATTTCAAAGCTGCTCAATTTACCCTTTCTAGACAAGGTGACATTAGTTATGTTTAAAGAGATTTAGGAAAAAACGTCATATTTTATTTGAAAGTCAGATGAATTGATAAAATATCACTTAAGTGAAACAAAAAAAAAAATGCATAAGCATCTCTAAGAAAAATACTCTCGAGACCTTTGATGCAAGGGAGGAAGTTTATTAATTTTTAGGAAATTTTCCCTCCAACCCTAAGCTTGTTAAAGGTGATTTTCCACTCATCCGTTTTTCTACGGGAAAGGGAAAAGAAACGAAAAAATAATCACGTGAGCATGCGCAGTTTCCTTACGGACAAGTAAAAACTTTTATTACGCATGCTCACGTGATTATTTTTCCGTTCCCTTTCCCGTAGAAAAACGGATGAGTGAAAACTCACCTTTAGACTCGCCGATTATAAATTTTTACTTGTTACCCGACGGGCATTTGTTTTTAAAAGTTACGTTCTAAATGTATTTTAAATGTCTTTTAAACGTTTTTTGCGTAAGAATGTTTAGAAGACGTTTAAAAGACATTTAAAATACATTTAGAACGTAACTTTTAAAAACAAATGCCCGTCGGGTATCAACAAAAACTTCTCATAACTAAATTAAAAAGTTCCGTGCCTTTAAAATTAGAAAATAATTTTAGTCACCGATAAAACAAAAACTTTCAGAGTGAACAGGTTTTAAAAACCATCGATCTTAATAAATCTTGATTTGTCGAAAATAATCTTTTGATTTTTTTCTTATCAAAGTATAAAACTTATCAGCATAATAAAAAATAAAAAAGTATTAAATTATGATAAATTTGAATAAGATTTAATATGCATAAACTGTATTAGCAGGGCCGGGTTAAGTACTTTTTGGCCTTGCGGCACTTTTTATACTTTTATTTTCTTTTGTATTTAAACAAGTATTTTGGGTTGTTTATTATTAAAAACACGCTGTGATTAGTATAGGTTTTAAAACACCTTAGGTCTGCATTTTCAGTTTGCAAATGCAGATGTGATATTTTTTAGGTCAATGGAATCCAATACCCGGTTTTCTATTTGAACAATAAAAAGATCTGAAAATCGTTCCTAAAATAAAAGCTCCGAAATGAAGGCATTCGTTCAATAAGAGAAAGTTAAGATCAGTAAGATATCGGTCAATAAATTTTTGTGCATTTTAATCTCCGAGATATCCATGCTGCGGAAATTCACAAGAAAACCAAACAGAGAGTTCAATCATCCATTAGTTTGTCCGTGATCTTATCATCGGTAATCATTTAAGATTGCCCAGATAGCACTGTAGTTTCCACATTGTAAATTTTATCATCGTAATTTCTCTTGGTTGCCTTTGAACATAGACATATTCATCCGTGTTGACCAAAGACGGCTTCTTTTTCATATTGCTTAAAATTGGAGCGAATTTGCTGCATGTAATGCTCCAGGGAGTTGTACAGTTCTTCAACCATACCGAAATCAAGCTTTACGAAATTGCAGTTTTTTGTTACCTTTGTTGAACCTTTCCATGATTCTGTTCCAAATGATTATTAAAATAGCAGTCTCAAGTTGTTCTATTTTGGTCAAAAGCCCGAAGGCCTCTGATCTTGGTTTTGCTTTCTTATTGTCGTTAAGATCAAGAAGAGTCTATTTAGAAAATAATTTTTAACAAGTATGCACAATCACAAATAAAATATGTTTTTATTTTAAGTAATTCTTAATCAATTCTTAATGCCGATGCTTGTTTAGCTTGTGCTGATGCTTGTTTAGCCTTTAAAAAGGGTTATTCTATTTATCTTGTAAATTGAATAAACCCTTTTTAATGGCTAAACAAGCATCAGCACGAGCTGACCAACGGTTGAGAGAGTCTAGGGAGCCTTAACATGTATTCCAGCAAGGAACTTTGACTTTAAGACATCGATGCGTTGATACAGAAAAGAGGTTATGGCAAGAGCGTTGATCCCTTTGATTCTTGCTTGTAAACCAAAGTAGATTTCAGAAATATTACTGGCATTGTTGTATGACTAGCCACGGCAATTTTGAATGTTGATCGCATACTGATTTAAATATTTCAAAATAATTTTAAGCATGGAAACTGCAAAATGATTATGCATGGTAATGAATGCTAAGAACCGCCCAACTGGTTTTTTGTTTCATCGGAAGTAGAATCAACGGTGATTGAGAAATACTTTGCAAATTTGGTTTCGCTTAAAAATCTCAAATCTTTTAAGTAAATAAAAAAATTATACTATAACATGTTACCATAACCTCGGCGGCTACTAAGTGTATGCGTTCTTCCCAAATGTCTTTAGATAAGTACAAGATACAACCCTTTCCTTTGTGTTCATGTGTTATCAAGTGTTGGGCGAGCAAAGGATTAAATTTTACTAATAGCTCAATACATCCAATAAGATTTTTTTAGGTATTCGTCTGATCCACGGAATGATAATGCTCTGAGAATAAGCAAAAAATCCAATTATTTTAAATTTCTTTTTTCACCATTATATTCATAAATTTTTTTAAAGTTTCTTTTTTCATCATAATGTTCAAACTCGAAAGTTCTTTCAAGTCGTTAAAAAAATAAAACGTTCTGTTTGCGATTCGTTGTACGCGCTGTTATTGCGAGTCCAGAGATATGACCTCTATCCTTAACTTCCTCTCATGTCCCAGAGATTTTTAATCTGTTAAGATTAAAAATCTCTGGGACATGAGAGAAAGTCAAGGGTAAAGGTCGATAATTATTTTTCTTTCAAATTATATATCTCTTAAAATTTCACTTAAATGCTCTGACCCCTTGAACTTCGTGGCCTCCCGGCACGTGTCCAGTGTGTCCGTTGGTTAAACCGCCTCTGCGTATTAGATCGCAAGACACGCTAGAATTAAATAGTTACATGCAAGTTTTGTAAAAAAATATTAGTTGGGTTGATATACTGAAATTTTATAAAAAAAATTTTTTTGGGACTTTATTAAAGTAAGCTTTTCACAATATGCATGGAGTAAAAGAATTCTTGATAGGCATCTTCGACATTTAAAAATTGGTTTCATTGAAAATAGAAATACAAGGTCCTGATGCACCAATTGGATATCGTGCTATGCATCAAAAATTAGGACAGTTTAACGATTTACGTGTACCAAGGGCTGTTGTTCATGCAGCTATGTTCGCAGAAAATTAAGCAGAACTTGAAAACAGAAAACCTTGCTTTATAAAGAAGAAAGCAAAGAACAACTATGTATCAGTTAGTTTAAATGTATAGAGATAATATATCAGAAAATCTTTCGACATCTTTATATTTGATGAAACTAACTGCATTATTAATGCTACTATTTTTAGTATTTTTATTACTTTAGTATTCTCTATTCTCATGTTTAAAAAAAAATCTAATTTAAAATAAACGCATTTGGAGACTTTTTTTGCATTTCAATAACATATTTCTAATAAAGTGTTTTTTTAGCAAGAAGGAAAAAAAACTTAGAAACAAACCAAATAACATGGAAATAAATGTTTATTAATTATGTAATTTATAGTCAAATTAATAACCTTATCAAATTAATAACCTCATCAAGAAATCAAAAGAATTAGCGCTCTTTAGTACAGCATAAAATACGTTATGTAAATTATGTTGCATTTAGTATGTAATACAATATATAACTTTACTATTGTCTATTAAAGTCTTTTGATTAAAGGTATTATTCTTTATTCAAGTAATAAATACCTCAAAAGATAAACAAGAACAAAAATACATAATCAAATAATAGAATTGCATTTTTAGCTTTAAACACTTTTTTTAATTCTTTCAAAAAATTGAAACCTTCATCTAAGCCATGACTGTGTTACATTTTTCTTTTATTGCAGAAAAAATAACCCAAATTTTTGTTAAATTTTAGATGCTTCTGCATTTTTTGGAAGAAACTAGCATGCCAAACAAAAAACTTTTTAAAAATATACTGAGCAAATTTCAGGATAGGTCTTTTAATTTATTATTTTAAATAACAACTGGTTATAATTTAGAACTTGTTATAAATTTTTTTTAGTAAAATTGAGTGGCGACAAAAAATTACGATGATTGGAGCTTGAGTGACGGCTGGCACTACCACTCAAGCTCCAATCACCGTAATTTTTTGCAAAGCATCCTTATTTTACATAGGTATAAACTTATAAATGTTTGGAGTTTGCTCTATGTCTGGGAGTTAGCTATCTCAAAGACCAAAAAATGTTGGCGCCGCCACTGGTGAAATTGATTACACTATTCACTTTCTGTTTCATAAAACACTCAGTGTT